ATACTTATATATAAGTATTTGACATTAAGCTTCATTAAAATATATCCATAATACCTACTCTGCCCAAAATAAAAAATAATGAAATTCTACCTCATTGGGAAATGATCTGTACTAATTCTTCACAATAATCTATTTCAAAAGCAGTACTAGTAAATAAAATGGGCTCATGCATAAAAATGCCCCTAGAGATCAAATTTCACTGAAGCTTAATGTCAAATACTTATATATAAGTATAAACATTTAATTTGTTGCAAATACTATAACAAATATCTCTCCTATTTTATTTTCACCAGTTGAAATGAATTTCTTGTTATATAATAAAGATTCTTATTAGTTAATAAGGAAACAACATGCAGGTTTGGATGTTTTTTTGTATGGGAGTTATATCTAAGTCGTTAACAGCAAAAATGAAGTTTGGTTTGAATGAAGACTGATTTGTAGAAAGATAATTTAGTTAGTTGAGCTGTAAAAAGCACTGTATTTAAAATGTAATTCACACAAATTTGGAGAGTGTTCCTAATTTCTGAGACACGTCTAAATTTATTTTTGACATAACTGACATAACCACCATCACATAATCCAATTTTGGAACACAATTCCCATTAAATGGGACTGCTAAATCAAGCAAAGTGTTTCATGACTTGTAAAGTTTCACAGCTCTTACATTTATTATGACATCAAGCAAAAGAAGCACTAGGATTAAATTGATGTAAGTAAAAAAGTGTTATCAAAAATAAGTGCTAAGGCATCAGAAAATTAAAGAGAAGCAAGAAAAGTACAATGCAGAGGTTCAAGAAAGGAATGGCTGCCTGTATTGTTCTCTCCAGCCACTTACCCCAGACTCCTCCATTTCTTCTTCCTGCAAGTGAGAGCCATGAATATTGAAGCATGGATTTAACGAAGAGACAGAGAAAGATTATAAGCTCAGAAGAAAAGAGTCAGACTTCAGGACAAGCTGTAAAAGGCATCTCAGAATAGTCTTCTCTCAGGCACTTTTTTAGAACAATTAACAATTGTATATCTTTGACACTGGATAGGGGCCATGCTGGTTCTGAATGTGCTTTGACCTCCCTACAGAACAAACACCATCTTCCCATACAACAAAGCAATAAAACCTGATTCAAAATTTTGGGATAGCTTTTCATTGGAAAATAAATTTTTGGACTTCTATTTAACAAGTAGTTCACATTTCCTTGCCTTCCTGGGCAAGATACCACTAACAATATAAAAGGCTTTCATGAAATCAAGTGGAAGAGATTTATGTTGTACGGCAATATTTCTTCCCCTACTCATCTGGCTTGATAAAAAGGTATATAAGATAGTGACTTATTGTATACTGCAATTTGACAGTCTTTTATTGTTGTTAATCAAGAATCTTACATTGTCTGCTCTCCTTTCTTGCTTAGAACACAAAAAATGGAACCTGCATGGACAGTCATCTTTATGTATACCAATATGTGAGTATTCTTTTCTTAAATTACTTTAAAACTCATACAGGCTATATGCTGTAGTAGTTGCATTTTAATCAACCGTGGTTCATCATGATATTTGATAAATCCAAGAATTCAAAAGTAGTTCTGAAACAAAAAAAACCCTCAAGCTCGATTTGGTTAAAATTAGTCAACATTAAACTTCAGATTCAATCTGAATGCAATGTCATTGCATTGTTTTATTTTTCTTTCCTTCTCTTTCTTTGCCCTCTTCTTACATAATCATAAAGCATGATTATAATATTATGAACTAAATTCCAAGCACAATTGATGATGTTTTCTTAATACTTAAGAAAGTATTCTTTCCCCTCTTGTAATTGTGTAAATTTCCCCTCTTCTTTCCCCTCTGTGCAAATTGCTCAGGTACCTTATCCACTCCTTTCCCCACTATAATACTAGTTCTGAATTGCGCCTACATCTGATCAACTGAGAATGATAAAGGATTTGACGTGGAATATATGATATATATTGAATAATCACAATTTCTTAAAATTGCTTGCACTGAATTCATTGTGTCAAAATAATTATCTAATTTTCCTGAATAAACATGTGTAAAATTTCATCCAATTGTGAGAAAATGTGTCATGGTAATACAACAATCTGAGTGCTTATGCTGAAGTAGTCATAATGAGAGAATCACAGATAAAAATCAGAAAGAAGGCAAACCCTGAATACTAATTTCTAAATGGTAAAGGGTTGAACTATTACATATAATGATTATTGAACATATTAGATTAAGGAGTCTGATGTGAACCTCAAAAGGGCAAGTACATTACTTAGAAATGCTAAAAAGACCATAGCTTATTTCAGATTGATAAATACAAGATTATGTAAAAAAAATGCAGTTATCCAAGAATTTTCCAATTCTTGATGTCATTTACAATTCATGTTTATTAGTTATGTAAATTAACATCATTAATTAGCATGATTACAATACAGTATGCTTGCCTCTTATTATTTAGTAAATAGTTTACTATATATTTTAACTAATTTTCTGTTGGTTTGCATACTCACCGAGTCCTGAACATTAAAGCAGGATCCATATTAACGGAAGCCATTCGACCCACATGGCGGATCTCTTTTGCAATCATTCTTAATTTCTCAAAATTGACCAAACCTTCCACCTTGGAATCATTTCCTGTATTACAAAATAATTATTGGCAAAAAAAACTATTCATTTTTTCCATTTGTTGTAAAAACAATTGACACACTTCAGCAGAATGCTGAACACATGGTAAGTACCTGATGTAATTTTAACTTACCTTCATGAAGAAATGTAAGATCCTTTTTTATTACAGGGAACAATGGAATAATGGGGGGCTGTAGATTCTGACTATTCAAGACATTGCGGTATTTTGCCATGTTTCTAGATGGATCAAATAAGTCCTGAAGATCTTGAAACAATTTCTCGTATTTGCTTGGAAGTTTTTCCCACGTGGTTCGTAATCTTGCAACCGGAGCTAAATTCAGACCACTAAACAATATTTTTAAAAGGTTTTTGAAATTTGCATGTGCACCACTCATATTCAGTTTGTTAAGCAAGAATTAAATTAATTCATTTAACATAAAAATGGCTGAAAATCAGACAACAGCGAAGAAAGCCTTTCAAGAATTTAATCTTAAAATAAAAGCAAAAATCTTCAAACACTATTGAGTTAAAGGACAATGAAAAGATAATACAGTATTTATCTTTTCCTAAACATTCTCCCATTTTATAACACTGCTACAGTGCAAAGTAATACAATACAAAGTTGTGACAATGATTATTATAAAAAACTCTCTGGGCTTCTGTCATTGCCTTGATATTTGACATTCAGCCTTCATTTCAATAGCGTGATTTGGCTAAAATATAGGTAGCCTTCAATTACAACCACAACTGGGACCAAAATTACTATTGCTAAGCAATGTGGTCATTAAGTGAGTCATGTTCTATTTTATTATTTTTGTCATGATAGTTAAGCAAATCACCATGGTAGTTAAATGAATGACAGTCATTAAGTGAATCTTCTTCCTCTACTGACTTTGTCAGAAATTAGCTAGCTAGGAATGTTGCACATGGTCAGGATGCTTCAACCATCATAAATACCATGCCAATTATTAGACATTTGAATGTTTATCATTGACTGCAAAGACCCTGCAAGAGTCATAAGTATGAGGACCAGTTTTAAAGACTTTTCCAGTTGCATTGTAACTTTGATTATTCAGTGACTGATTATAAGCCTAGAATGACATGTACTCAAACAAAAATGCTTGAATTAAGTATCTTAACATCTTTCAATAGTATTAAGGTATGATTAGCAGTTCAAAATTGAATGTTTTCATATTTAATTATAATAATAAGGGGCAAGAGAGACAAGAAGGACATCTCAGTATAAACTCACTGTACCATATTCAAACTTTGACACTTAAGATTTTAAACCATAAAACATATTACTGTGGAGA